TGAAATCAGATAGGAAGAACTAAAATTAGGTCTATGCAAGCAGAATACATTGCTCAAAATGTTCAAATTGGTTTAGCATCTGAGCACCTTTGAGAACAACTGATTTATCAGTACAGCAACAGAAAGAGGCCTTTATAACTTGAACTGTTAAGACAGCATCATGTTAAGTCCTATATTTCTACAAAATATAACAAAGTTAACACAACATCCTAGAAAAAGTGGAGGTAGAGCTCACATTTCTTGTTTTTGCTCCTGACCTGATACTGACATTCAGACTATGTATTTCTCTGCATCACAGTCTGTTGTGCAAAGGACAAAAGCTACAAAGGGGTGCTCTTGCTCTTGCCGCCGAAAGCATGCTTTCATAGAATCACTACATTTAGAATCACAGTGCTTTGCCAAGTGCAGAAAACAAGTCTTGTTCTCCTATAAAACAAGTTCCTCCATTCCAAAATGCATACTTACAGAAGAGCAGCAAACCTGTTTTGTACTTTACCAGCCTTCAAGACACTATAGAAAAATGACCAGAGCACCAAGCAAGGATTTCATCTTTCTCTTGAAGGTGCTATAGCTTCACCAAATAGGTTCCTTCATGCTTCTTATGATGGGGATGTCACTCCCAGGCTGCTAAATATATTATGTTTGCTTGGCCAGAGCGTTCGCTGCTTATTTTGCTGCTATCACACAAGTCAGCCAAGTACATTCCTGATGAATGACTGATATAGATTTTCCTCAGTGCACAAGCACACAAGACTTAGCAATTACCTAGATATCACTAAGAATTGTTTCCTGATGAAAAGTATTTAGCTTCCAAGAAAACATACAGGAGAAAAAATTGGCCTTTTATTTCTCCAATTCTGATAACATCTAATCACTAACACTTCAAAGAGTTGTTAAGCTTTGCTGCTACCACTTCTGGCACAATTCCTTGCTGCTTATAACAAAATTATATTAAGCAAATACAGTACATTATTTAAAGCCACTAAACAGTTTCTTTCCAAAACAAAATAACATCATTAGTCAAATATTATCAAATTCACATTCAAAGCTTTCCCTCACCACCAACCAGGCTTCACAGCTTTTTGTGTCCTGAAGATCATGAATATAATTCCACTGTGGTTTACAATATAAACATTTTTAGTTATTTATGACTGTTTAACATCTTATTATCATTAATTTGTATTTTATCTGGTTTGGATTGCACATTGCTTCCTTATGTAATTTTAGAAACCATTAGTTATATTAAACATGCTCTGTCTGAAGACCTGAAGGCAGCAACTTCTCTTTATGAGACCTCAATGGCTGGCCACTGTTCAGCCCTCTTTGGTATGCTCAGCTTTGGGACATGTAAGTCAAAACCATTCAGGTAGACAAAGATAAGCAAAAAAAGGCACTGATGTTATTTTTCAGAGAGATAATTACAAATACCAATAACTATAATTCACCTGTGAAGATCAGCCCATACATGGACTCTGCACTCAGGTCAATGGAAATCAGGACATGTCAAGGGCTTCATCTTGCTTGCTGTTTACATTCTAGACAGATGAAACTGGATATCTGTCCCTCATATCTGAAAAATCATGGCAGTCAGGTGAAGCTCCTGACAACTGGAAAAAGCGTAATAAAACCCCCATCTTCAAGAAGGGGAAAATGGATGACTCGGGGAATTACAGAGCAGTCAGTCTCACCTCTGTGCCTGGCAAAATCTTGGAGCACATTCTCCTGGAAGGCACACTAAGGCCTTGTTAAAAAACAGCAAGATGGCTGGTGACAGCCAGCAAGGATTCACTAAGGGTAAGTCCTGCCTGACCTATCTGGTGACCTTCTATGATGGGGCCACAGAACTGATGGACAGGGGTAGAGCAGTTGATGTCATCTGCCTGGACTTGTGTAAAGCGTTCGACACTGTCCCACACAACATCCTTGTCTCTAAATTGGAGAGACATCAATTTGATGGATGGACCACTCGGTGGATAAAGAACTGGCTGTATGGCCGCACACAAAGGGTTGTGGTCAAGGGCTCAATGTCCGGCTGGAGACCAGTAACGAGTGGTGTCCCTCAGGGATCGGTGTTGGGACCGGTCTTGTTCAACATCTTTATCACTGACATGGACAGTGGGATTGAGTGCGCCCTCAGCAAGTTTGCCAATGACACCAAGCTGTGTGGTTTGGTTGATATGCTGGAGGGAAGGAATGCCATCCAGAGGGACCTCAACATGCTTGTGAGGTGGGCTGATGCCAACCTCATGAAGTTTAACCATGACAAGGACAAGGTCCTACATGTGGGTTGGAGCAATCCCAGGCACAGCTACAGGTTGGGCAGAGAAGAGATTCAGAGCAGCCCTGCGGAGAAGGACTTGGGGGTGTTGGTTAATGAGAAAATGAACATGAGCTGGCTGCAGTGTGCACTTGCAGCCCAGAAAGCCAACCATATCCTGGGCTGCATCAAAAGGAGTGTGACCAGCAGGTTGAAGGAGGTGATCCTGCCCCTCTACTCTGCTCTTGTGAGACCTCACTTGCAGTATTGTGTGCAGTTCTGGTGTCCTCAATGTAAAAAGGACATGGAACTGTTGGAACAAGTCCAGAGAAGGGCCATGAGGATGACCAGGGGACTGGAGCACCTCCTGTATGAAGACAGGCTGAGGAAGTTGGGGCTGTTCAGCCTGGAAAAGAGAAGGCTGTGTGGAGACCTCATAGCAGCCTTCCAGTATCTGAAGGGGGCTATAGGGATGCTGGAGAGGGACTCTTCATTAGAGACTGTAGTGATAGGACAAGGGCTAACAAGTTAAACAGGGGAAGTTCAGGTTAGATATAAGGAAGAAGTTTTTTACTGTCAGGGTGGTGAGGCACTGGAATGGGTTGCCCAGGGAGGTTGTGAATGCTCCATCCCTGGCAGTGTTCAAGGCCAGGCTGGACAGAGCCTTGGGTGACATGGTTTAGCATAAGGTGTCCCTGCCCATGGCAGGGGGGTGGAAACTAGATGATCTTAAGGGCCTTTCCAACCCTAACTATTCTATGTTTCTGTGATATTTAGATAAAAGAACTGGGATCTGTTTTGATTCCATTAAAACAAATGTAGAAAACACAGGGTGAAATGAGAGAAGTGAAAGGTATGATGATGTTTCACAATGCTTGAGATTTTCTTGGTGCTGTATGCTTTCACACCCCTCCAATTAGTTTGAAGGTTTCTACAATATTAACTCTACTGATGTTCTAGCAACATGCAAAAGTTTAAGCAGAAACATCTTGCTGGAAATTTCCACTACGCTGGTAAGAAATGTTGGTTTAAAGATACTAAATTCTGTTTCATGTGAAGAGGTTTTAATATATTTAATCTGTTTAAGCACAAGCTTGTTTCATTTCATAACAATTCCAGAGCCATGAGTCTCATTTTTAGATGTGAAAATTGGAAGAGTAGCAAAGGTTAAAGCACGTTTCTGAGACCTCTATGTGCGTAAGACAAGCATTATTTAAGTCTATATGCTTAGATCTCACTTGTCAAGATGCAAAGAAAAAAATTTAAAAAACAAGCACAGCAGAAAGCAGGTTAATATACTTGCTATTACCAATAAGGTGAAGGAAAAAAACCTCTAGGAGATGGCATCATTCAGCTTTCAAGCACATGCTAAACAGATACAGGAGTTTCCTTACCTTGAATTCATAAAGGATTATGAAATGCTGAAACTGCTGATAGTAAAGGAAAAATCCAATCAAACAATTCAGGTTTGCCTTTTAGTGCTAGAGAAAGTGTAAGTGTGCTATGCTGTTTGAACCACAGAAATTACTCTGGATTTCAGCACAGTATTTCACAGCCCATTGCCTTTCCAGTCCTTTAGCATTCAGAGAGCCATCTGACAGAAACTTTGAAACAATTAGATGCTGACAGTATTTCAAACACTAAGTCACTGTAATAATACCCAGATGATAGGCAATGTACTGTGTTAAATTTTAAGTACAGGTAGACTAAATGGGTTTATCACCATATTGAAAAAAACACCATAGTCAAATACAGATTTAAGCCATAGATCTGTACCAAAAGCATATCTAATCTAAGATAATCCATCCATGGGGTTTGCTTTGGTTTTTTGGTGTTGAGAGTTTGTTTTTTGTTTGCTGGGTTGTTTTTTTGGGGGGAGTTGGGGAGGATTAAGGAGACATTCTCATTTTCTTACAGTAATAGGTATGCAAGCCAGGACTTTATAGACAAGTTCAAAGCTAAATTTGCATATACGCAGAGAAGCAAAAACTAAACATAAATGGTAAGGCCAATAATGATGTCATTGTTATGTCTTAATTACCTTCCACACTTTAAAATGCAGAGACCTCAAGTTTGTGTTGTGATAAAGTACTATCATTATGGGGTTTTTTTGTTTAATGTAAAAAAGTTCCTTTCATTCTCCAAGAATTCAACTCTTAAGAAACAACCATCCTTCCTGGTGTTACAAGACAAATGTTACTGTGCATGCTGTAGTCATGGTTCTCACCTAATGCAAGATACCAAATTACAGTCTATTTAATTAAGTATCATTTCCTTGGAAGACCACTACCACACTTCTGAAGATGCCATCAAATCTCATATCACAGGAGTAAAATAGTCACTGAAAAATACTGAAACATCTCAGATGAGCAGAGCATTTCGGAATTCCATTCTTTCTAAAAAGCAACTACTGACTAGAAAAACTATGCAAGAATGAAAGGACTATTTAAATAAAAAGAATCATCTTAACCTTGCTAATAATAAACAGAATCTTATGCCTGTTAAAAAGTCAATTTATCAGAGTACAAATGCAAATTCCCTCTATGTACCTCAGTACCAAAGGCTTGGGAAAAAAGGTAGGCTACTGAACAAAAGAAGCAGCCTAGCCTCATTTCTGCTTTTGGAAATGCCTGTGCAACCACTGATGAAAGAGAAAGGAGGTTTATATGCATATCCACAAGAAAGAATCTGGACTAGTGTTTAGACTGCACTTGTAAAAGATAATGTTATTAGAATAACTCACTTTTTAGACACATCAGGCATTATTGTCTGTTCTTTTTTCCTTGTATCCACTGCTGGCTCTACAGGGGTAAGTACAACAGCAGCACATGAGACTATCGACTGGTATGAGTCTTCCCGGCAAACTGCAATGATAAAAAAGTTTCAGTGTTAAAGAGCGAACTCAGTTTGTATTCTAAATGCCTAAAGAATAATCAAGTCATACTGTGATAAAACAAAAATACAAAAGATTAATCAGACTTTACTGTGGTCACCTGCAATGTAAATTTTGTTGGTTTTCACATTTCCTGAAGTTTTACCTGATCTGATGTCAATGTGCTTGAGCCCATCAGTGTGTCTGAGCCTTATGGTTTTCAGACAAAACTACCTCAAAAATTTCAGATTTTGTAAGAAAATAGACTTGAGAAAACATGATTAGTGATTTTTTTGTCTTTAACCATTACATCCCACTTTAATCTAAAAAAACCAAATCCAAATGGCCTAGGAGTGATATATGATATATTGATTCATGACTTCTGTTAACATAAATTATCTATGTATTACTGTGCCGGATGATGACTTAGACAATGTTCAGAGCTAGAAGAATGATCGTGTATTTTAGCTGAGCATCTGACTCACTAAGCACTAATAAATGAATACCCAAAAGTCCCTGACAACTATATTTCTTAAAAGTTGTATCTATTCTAAATTCTAAATTGCAAGGGTCACTAGTAATTTAGCACTTAGCAGTCACCACTCTTACAGATTTTGAAGGTATAGATTTCCTTTATAACCAAGGGGTACCTTTATGAGCCAAATAAAAGCTGGAATTAAGAGCTGAACAAAGCACAGCAGCTTCTTACACATTTATGGTATATTTCAAATATAAATAAGAAGAAATGTGGTGACCTATCTTTTAAGTAGAAAGTCACATGATATTTTATATGTATAACATAAGAGAACTGCTTTATAGTGTACACATGCACATACACAGCCAATAACATAGATGTAGCATCCTGTAAAACAAGGATAATCAAAACAAGCTCTCAGCAATTCAAAACCAGAAAGAACCTACTTTACAAGCACATATATTTATTGTGATTGTGACAGTTGAGAATATTGAACTTTCACATTTACTTATCAATAGAAAACTTTTTTCTGAAGACTTTCCTACCTTCCACCCCACAATCATGTGCCTCCACATTGCCCACAGAAGATGTACCTTTTGCACAGCCTATGCTCCTCTTATAAGAGGAGCAAAACTGGAATAAAACTTCATCCATCTTGCCTTGACTGGGTCAAGAACAACTAACTGTACTATTTTAACCTCAGCACTCAAATTACATTCAGCATGAATTCAATGCACATCAACAAGATATACTGCATGCCTGATGAATATCCTGGAATGGTAACTGGTGCTTTAAGGTAGCTATTGAGTAGATTTAAAAAACAAGTCAGAGTAGCATTAGATGTTTAGACAAAGTTTGGAAAAGTGCAAAGGTCTTTTTGTTTTCAGAGCAATTCTGAGCTATTCAGCAAGGAGCACAAATAGCAGAGCACAGGTACATTCTAGCAGGAAGAAAATCTTTTTGTGGAGTACTTGTAATTACATTTAATGTTCTGCAGCATTGTTTTTGCTGGTAATTAAAATATTAACATGCATGTTGTGCTAAGTGACTAAGACACATAAGATGACCAGTACTAAAACCTTAACTTCATTTTTTTTTTGAATCAACATTACTCAAAACTTTGTCACTATTATAGACACCCAGCTCCAAAACACAGTCACACCCAAAGAGAGCATGCTATATTGCCTACAGGTATGCAAGTAGGATATACATTACAGCTCCATGCATAACAAATTAAGATGAAAGCTAATACAAAATACATTGAATTAGAGAGACTAAAAAAGAAAAAAAAAAGAACTTTATGTGATTTTTATTTTACATCTTACTGTGTTACATGTAAGCAGCACACCATCTAGTAGCAAAGTGCTTTTTGGTGGGCACCAAGTAACGTACAAAATAGTTTCTCACTACAACCATTAACTGAAAATGCACAGATAATAACATTTATGTCTATTTGACTCTTGATTTGCAGCCAAAGTATTATAAAAAGATAGGTCTGTCAAAGGGCGTGCCCTGGTTTGGCCTGGGATAGAGACAAGTGTCTTCCTACTAGCTGGTGCAGTGCTGCATTTCAGCTTTAGTCTGAGAACAATGATGATAACACACCAATGTTTTTAGTTGTTGCTCAGTAGCACTTACCCTGATCAAGGATTTTTAAGCCTCTCATGCTCTGCCAGTAAGGAGGGGCACAAGAAACCCAGAGGGAACAGAGACAAGACCTCTGACCCACACTAGCCAGAGCAGTATTCCATAACACAGCACATCATGCCCAGTAATATAAACTGGGGGACTTGGGTCATAAGACGGTTGAGGACTGGGTGGAATCAGTCAGCAGACAGTGAGCAACTGCATTGTCCATCACTTCTTTCTTGAATTTTATTCCTTTCTCTTTGCCTTTGCATCATTATGATTATAACAAAATTTTACTTTATTTCAATTATTAAACTGTACTTATTTCAACCCATGTGTTTTACCCTTTAGTTGATTCTCCTCCCCATCCCACTTATGGTACCACTTGAATATCTAGTTGTTACTTTAGAACTCAGAAAAGGCCTGGTGACTATGGAAGCATCACAGGGTAGGATTCTCCCTAGATCAGTCACTGTCCGTCAGGGTAATTACAAAGAAAGATAAAATAGGAAATCACAAGTAACACAACACTGCTAGTCTCCTACCCTTTACAGAAATTTCATGAAGTAATAAAACTGAAATTGCTTTTGTTTAATAATTAATGCTATACGGGCATTGTATAATCCCCTAATTTACAGCTGAAGATAAACCCAATGGTCATCCAGTGATCTGAGCTCACAGAATTTTTTATCCTCCCATCCTAGACAGTGATACTCTTTGGTCTGGCTTTTGAAAACCACTACAGTTCCTCCTTTTATCTCAAGTCTCTTTGCATATAGTCATAAGTCATTATGGGACAGTATAATTAACTCAAATGTCATTAAATAGCAACAACATGGCAGCAAGTAATTTTCACCTACTGGAGTGTATTCTCTTATTATCTGTTCATAACTTGCATTAAAATAATGAGAATGTACTTGAATGTGGACTCTCAACTTTAACATTGATGGTGATGGGCACTGTTTTAATTAAGGAGATGGCTTTTATTTTACATTTCAAACTTCTCTTAAAGGTAGTTTCTTTTCTACACCTTCATTTTTTATCTACAAGTGGCTTATATTAACCCCCAGAAAGCCCATTAGTGATGTCTGCGGATCATAGTCTTCATTAATCCAAATTTATTTGATCCTCAAAATACTACAAAATTCAGAATAGCAAACAATTACACTAAGGGATTACCTCTTTCAACCATAAAACTCCCCATGTCCAACTTGCACTTTAACAACCAGCAAAAACTTTATAAATTTAACTTTGTCACATGAATTGTTAAGGAAAATAGAGAAAAACAGAATTTCCAATCATCTGAGTTGGTGTCTGTAAAAATGTCTATCACATTATTCCTGACATGAGTGTGCAAGCTAATTCCATGCTCACCAGCCTCTGGGTCCAGCCATTCAGCCAGTTTTCAATCCACCTCACTCTGCTCACCCAGCCCATACATCAACAGCTTGCCTATGGAGATCTTACAGGAGGCAGCATTGAAAGCCTTACACAATATCCACTGCTCCAATGAAGAAACCAGTAAGAAAACTTCCCATCTGCTACATTTTTACAATGGCACACAAACATTAAGTACAAATTGTACATAGAGGTTCATTACCACACTTGCTACCATGTATCTCTGGAAGCACAGAAAAAAATTGTACAAGGTATCAACATCAAAGAAAACAATCAGCTAATTTTTTATACCACCTGCAGAAATTTCTTTAAGAGACCATTATTTAGTATCTCAGAATGTATTATACACTGAATACCTCCTGAAAAAATAAGTAATTTGCATGTGAGATTTCTTTTTTTTCAGTACCATTGCATCTCCTTTATTCACAATTCAACCATTAGATGAACCAGCCAGTAACTGTAGTGAAGTAATGCAAGTGCAGGAATATCTTTATTATGTATTACCATTAAAGGAACATAATTTTCTGCATGAAATAAAGCACACTATATACTAACTACAAGTCATATAAAGGAAACTACAGAAGGAGAAAACAAACAGTTTAACTTCACATAACACTATTATGACAGATTTGTACTGCTTTTGAAGTTGCATAATTTCTCCCCGGATTCTTCAATTTACACTTTAATGATGCGTACTGTTTGTTTTCTTCCATTGCCAAGTGCTTTAAAAGTACCCCATATATTAATCACTAGGAGTGCTGGCTTGGATTTGCCCTAGTCGGTTTAACCAGTCCCAGAACATCATTCACTATCAAAACAGATCTCTACATCTGGAGAAGAAAAACATTAGCTTTTTTTAAATTTTTCCCCTTTGCTGTTTCTTTTAAGAACAATGAGAACGACAAATTAAGCACTTTCCTTCTACTTTGAACCAACCAGTGGAAAAAAACCTTAATTCCCTAAATAGTAGGCCAGTAAAACTGCTACTGAATAGAATGTATCCCTCTGGAGAATAAAAAGATGCTTAAGCTCTAGGGGTGTAATTTACAGCGTCTATTTCAAACATTGTTAATTGTACACCGCTTTTTTGATTTTTTTTTATTTTTTTTTTTTAATGGAGAGAGAAAATCTGGTCATTACCACTCATTATCAAAAAAATAAAGTCTCCCTTGACACAAGATTCAAGTGATGGTTCCATGAAATTATCACCAAGTACTACCTGCTAAGAGAAAACAGAAGGGAAATGTTCATATGCAGTGTGCAATGAAGCATAAGGGATTCATGACAAAAGGAGATGAAAACAGTGGAGTACTTCTGAATTTTAAAAAGCTGGGTACTTCTGACAATTCAAAGTATTTACATTTGTGCCTGCAAAGTTTAAAATAATCAGCTCCCATTATTCAAGAGACAGATGAAATCTGGAAACAGCTGCTGTTTTACACCAAAACCCCTTCTGCTTTGGTAAAGAAAAAACAACCCAGGCAACCAGC